GAGTCGGGGGAGGGAGAAAGGGCTGGGAACAGGACTGAGTAGGACTGTAGTAACGATAGTGCTTCTTTTATTCTTTCTTTGCAGCCTGTCCTGGTTATTCCAAATGTGTATGCAACCAGTACCTTGGCACCAGAGTCTTCCTCAGCTCCTCCCAGAGACGATGGCCACCTCGCTTATGCCATTTAAAACAAAAAAGAGCACCAGAAAATCTCATGGGGTTAAACTGCTCTGCAGGAACTTCTGAAGAAACTGTCCTCCACAGTCCACGATGATCGCTAATCTTTGAAGACTGTGTTTGAGATTCTTCTTACTTTGTCACTAACGATAACCGCATGTATTTCCCTGACACAGTTTCTTCCCACATACCACTACCACACTGGCAAAGGCGAAGGACCGGAAGACTGAATATGGCTCACGGTATTTTGTACATTCATATCATCAAACCCTGCGTCCTGGATAATGACAAAGCTTTGCTATTTACAGAGTATTTTCACGTACATCAGACTCATGTGCAGTGGGGTAACAGCAGGCCAAGGATGAAACACTGAGGGAGTTTTACTGGGGTTATGGCTATTTTGTCTCTGAAATGGGAAAACCCTGGGCATGTTTAAAAGCCAAGGGGAACAATCCGGCTAAGATAGAGAGCTGTTTAATATATTAGAGAAAAGGGATCACTGTGGTATAAGCATCAAGAAACCAAAGTGTATATGGAAGGCATGGCCCAAGTGATGCAGAAGGGTGGTTTAGTCACATAACACAAAGAAAAGAAGATGTCATTGTTGCAGATATCAACAGGTTTGCAGGAATAGTATCCAGGATGTAGGAAACCCCATTACGATGCCTTGTGTCATCCCTGTCAAAGCAGAAGTGAGGGGGAGCCTGGGTGGCTCAGTTGGTTAAGCTTCCAAGATCTTGACTTCGGCTCAGGTCATGATCTCGCAGTTCACGGGTTCAAGCCCTGCATCAGGCTCTGTGCTGACAGCTCAGAGCCTGGAGCCTGCTTTGGATTCTGTGTCTCCCTCTCTCTCTCTCTCTCTCTGCCCCTCCCCTGCTCGTGGTCTTTCTCTCTTTCTCTCCCTCAAAAGTAAATTTAAAAAAATTTTTAAAAACTAAGCGGAAGTGAGGTGACACCCAAGGTCGGGGCCATGTGTAGAATCAGAATATTGAACAGAAAGGGTAATGTTGGAAAAGTCATGGAAATAGAGAATAAACTGATCAGAGAAACAGAAGAGGACTGCCAGGCTACACTGAAGGCACGTTTGAAGCAACGCTCACAAATTTATAACACAAACTGACTGCTTCAGCACGGCTTGGGCTGCTCAGATGCGAATCTAGATAAAGTGCCTATTTGGTTTCATCCAGGATTAGGGTTTTGCAAGACAGGATGACAAAATACCAAAGGGGCAGAAAAGCATGAGACACTGCCAAAAGTATTACTGAAATGATGGATTATGAAATCTAAACTAGGTTAAGAGGGGAAGAAAAAAAAAAAGGACAGATAGATTGATCAAAAATTGTTATCTGCCTTTCTCTAGTAGAGATGTTGTAAAGATCAAATAAGATAACATTATGTGAAAGCAGTTTGGAAACAGCAAAGTATTACCCATTTTTGAAGTTTCTGAATTATTTTTAAAAGCCAAGTGGGACAGGGGCACCTGGGTGGCTCAGTCAGTCAGCCGACTCGATTTCGGCTCAGGTCATGATCCCAGCATTGTGGGATCGAGCCCCAAGTCAGGTTTCATGCTCAGCATGGAGCCTGGCTGAGATTCTTTCTCCCTCACACTGCCCCTCTCTCCTGCTTGTGCTCTCTCTCTCTCTCTCTCTCTCTCTCTAAAAATAAATAAAATGAAAAAGAAAAAAAATTAAAAGCCAAATGGGACAAAATATATAGGGAAAGAGTAGGCAGAGAAATTGAAATCAAGGAAGAGGCAGATGAGAAGAATGGAATTTTTGCATCTGGGAAAGCAGATGTATTATGTCAGGTGACTAATACACAGTTCCAAATTTCCTGGTCTGCCTGGGTCCCCACTATTTAGCATTTTGGGTAATCAGGAATGCTGTGCCCTTCACCATGAAGCTCAGCAGCTAAATGAAAATAAAGACACACACCCCATGGTCGGAGGGCACTAAATAGCACCCAAAATGCCTGGAGGGGTAGCATACTGTAAATCTAGATAAACAACTTAAAAAGTAAGACTTGCTTTAGCAAAGAGAAGCATGTCTAGCAAAGCTGATTTTTGAAATTTCCATCAAATAAATTTCCATATTCTTTTTCTCACTTCACTTTAGTAGCAGTAATAATGATAATAACAAATATTTAGACCACTCTATGTGCCAGGCACATCCCAAACACTTAGGAAAAATTAACACATTTAATGCTCACAACACCCCTGTGAAATAGGTACTATAATCAGCATCATTTTCTGGGGGGGCCTGGGTGGCTCAGTCAGTTAAGCATCCGACTTTGGTTCAGGTCATGATCACATGGCTCAATGAGTTCGAGCCCCATATCAGGCTCTGTGATGACAGCTCAGAGCCTGGAGCCTGCTTTGGATTCTATGCCTCCCTCTCTCTCTGTCCCTCCCCTGCTCACACTCTGTCTCTCTCTCTCTCTAAAAAAGAAATAAATATTTAAAAAAAATTTTTTTTAAATAAGTATCATTTTCAAATGAGAAAACCACAGCAGAGAGATTAAAAACTTGCCATTAAGACATGCAGTTGGCAAGACGGGAGCATGAACCTGAACCCAGGCAGTCTGGCTCCCAAGTCCACACAGTGTTCCTAACCCCTATTCCCACTCTTCTTATGGTCTGGGGTAAAATGAGAGATTTGTAGCTCCAAAACAAACAAACAATGTTTCTCTATAGTAAACTTCTAGTCCATGTTGAAGGAACCACCTGACTCCGATGGGAGAGAAGTTTAGTAATATAATAAGTACGGTCATCACTTGCTTCCTGAAAGTTGCCCTGGTACCTTTTAATCACACCTAAGAGTCTCTTAACTCAATATCTAGCGTGTCAATTGATTTGCCCCCTCTGATTCTTCTTTTGGCTGGATACTCAAAAGATGCTAACAGATACGGGTTTCAACCATCTAAAATTTGTATTTTCAACGTTTATTTATTTTTGGGACAGAGAGAGACAGAGCATGAACGGGGGAGGGGCAGAGAGAGAGGGAAACACAGAATCAGAAACAGGCTCCAGGCTCTGAGCCATCAGCCCAGAGCCTGACGCGGGGCTCAAACTCACGGACCGCGAGATCGTGACCTGGCTGAAGTCGGACGCCTAACCGACTGCGCCATCCAGGCGCCCCTAATTCTCAATTTCTAAACCCAGTTTATGGCGACTGAGAAAAGCAAACTTGGTTTACTGATCTGTGATATTATCAGAAGAATTAAGAAGTACCAAGGAACTTTGCCCATCCCACAGTTTGACCTACTCGTCTATTCTTGCCTATGTTCACACCGAGTACATATGAGTATGTATTGTATTCGCTGAATAAAGACGAGTACATATTTGGCCCCCCCCCCCCAAGAAAATCCTCAAATCCAAGGTAACTTCCTTTCTTAAATGAAAAGAAAAGATAATCACTTCTCTTAACAATCAGTCAATCATGGCAGCCAATTCCAATAGGGAACCATCTCATCAAAACTGACTTTCATTTCTACAAAATCCATAATCCTGATATCGATAACACATTCAAGCGAGTTCCTCTTTCTATAGCGCATAGAATGCTTAATATTGTCCGATCGCTCTCTGCTCAGACAGGTAAAGCACAAAACAACAATCCTAATGTTAGAAACTGAAGTGTTTTATTACAGCACTAAAACAAATACCCTCGGTGATACACTGACCAATACAAGACGTAAAGGCATTAGAACAGCCTGGACATACTTTCTTTTCTTTCAGTTGAGGGGACTGTAGAGTCAGAATGCAAGGAACCTACCTGTGGGGCTAACAATAAAGTTACTGAGTTTATAACTGATTTTCAGGCCATGCATGATCCTAAAAGATCTTGGTGGCTTTAACATATACTGGTAATTTGCCTTTGGCAAAAAGGGGTTTTTTAGCGGCCTTTAGGTAATTTCCTTATAAAAGAAAAATCTGTTTCTGAATGCTTTGCTCATTATCACTCACTAGATATTTACATCCCAAGCTTGAATTTTAATTTTCCCAAGTACCAATGTAAATTTTCCTAAAACAAAAGAGACTTTATGACATTAAGCCATTCTGTGGCTGCAGAAATGTCCACTCTGCAGTGACTTTACTGCCTCAGTAAGTCATGCTAATTGCATAATAGGAGTACCTGCACTTGTCAGTTAATTTAAGATTACATTTTTTGCTTAAGGTTCCCCTCAACCTCTGACTTCCTCATCTACCTTCCCACACCAGACTCTTCTATATCCTCCGGCTGCTACCTCTACTTCTCTACACATCTTTTCCTAAAGATTGTTTTCACGACTCTCCACATCAAACAGAAAACTGATACCGGTGTAACGTGAAAGGTAAACTCACCTCAGCAAGAGGATCAAAAAGTCATGCCGGTGTCTCGCTAAATAGTCTCTTCATTAATTTCCTTCCTTGGCTTCTTCCGTTTAACACAAAAAACAAAAACAAACACAAAAAAACGGTGGAGGGTAGTCATCGACCCAACTACCTGCCGTTTTCAACAGGTACACCTCCTAAAATGCATTTGCGCCACTTGTGCTACAATTTTCCTTTGAGGACAGAGAAAGTGAGGGACTGACTTTGCATCAGTGATCCTGGCCACTCATTATATAGAACATGCACCGGAAGGGTCAGTAACAGAAGGCGAAGTTTGGAAGGGCCATTTCTCCAGACACCAAGCGGGTCCGACCACGTGGCCCGCAGAGCCCTAGTGAGTCTGCGCACAAGGCCCCTCTCCCCACCGTCCCCGCCCTCTTTGCCGTCCGGTACCAGGAGTCCCTGCGCAGGCGCAGGCGCAGGCGCAGGCGCAGGCACAAGAGGAAGGTGCAGCTGCTGCTGCTGCCGTTGGAGGCCCGCGTGGCCTGAAGAGCCTGCGGGCCTCCTGGGTCCTGGGCTCCTGGCAAGCTCAGTGATGCTCTCCCGGTGGAGTCTGGGGGCCTGGCCCTGAGGGCGCCGCCAGCTGAAATCTGCCTCTTGAGCTAGGCCTGGGTACTGGCAGGACGACCCGGACGGGGTGCTGGAGGAGCGCTGCTGGGCAGGGAGACCAGCCCCTGCGGGGATCCCCCTCTTAGCCTCGGCTTGGACCTGAGAGGGCAAAACTCGATCCTTAGGACCTTGACCAAGTAAAATGAGGGGTAATGATGTCGCTTTGCTTCCGCGATTTCTTCGGTGTTAAAAGCCCTCAGGGGGCATGGAGACAGGATTGGGTGTCCCCCACCTCCCCTATTCTGCCCCGCCGCTCATCTTTGTGCAGATGGCCTCGGCCAGTCCGTTTCATCAAGTGTGAGTCCCAGGGTCACAGCCCAGGTCTGGCCCTGGAAGTGCAGAAATGAATCCCTCCACTTAACGGGAGCTCACCCTGCCTCGGGAGCCACTCCTGATCATTCAAAGTGAGGCGGACACCGTGATGTAGTTTAGGGGAGCAAGGAGAGGAGTATTAACGGACTGGTGGGGCAGAGGCTTCCCAAGGAAGGTTGTTCTGGAGCTGTTGGGGCTGAACCCCAGGGTGACAGGGATGAGGCTGAGAAGGTGGGCAGAGAACATTTGATGAAGGGCTTTATCTGCCCTGCCAAAGAGTTTGAACTTTATTCTGAAGACAGTGAGGCGTTGCGTGCTAAAAAGATGGACAAGCGGTTTCTAGACATGAGCTCTCTGTGACTGTTCCAGAATTACTATGTAATAAGGCAAGTGTAGGGGATGAAGATAGGGCTGGGAATAAGGGCTAGGGGCTTGTTCTGCAGCTGGCTTTTGGGATTAGGGATGGGACCACCAGAAAATAAATACAAATAAATTATTTATTATTTCTTTTTTATTCATCTAATTTTACAAAAATGAGATGCTTAACTGGGTTGTAGGGTAACTGAATGTAGATAGAATGTCATTTGAAAAAGTGCTAACTATCCTTTATTCCAGCAATATATTGTCGAATTTCTTAGTTTCTTCCTTCCAGCAGTTAAGCTAAAGAATTGTAAACACACACAACCTGTTTTTTTCTTGGTACTTTAATGAGTACTTCATTAAAGTTTTGGTGGTTTTGGTGGGGGCCTGATGGAGACGCTAAAGGTGCTAAATATTCTCCCCAAGTCACTCGTGGTGCTTCCACTATCAGCTTTGTGAAAAGAATTTTTTCTGTGTACGCCAAAGGGCTAATTATTTTTTATTATTTTCCTAGCAATCTAGATATGACTTCCTCATTACTTTATATATGAATTCTGAAATTCTATGTCTTTTATTTAAGCATGACAAAATGATCAATCTTGGTTGCTGTCTAGGCCTATACCCTTTCTTTGGTATTTCTCAGAGGTGGCATTTTAATATACAAAACTTACTACTTATACTTAGGTTATTAACATTGTTTTCTCTGCTGTCAGTAGCTCTTAAATTCTTGCCTAGCTTTTTTCTGTCTCTATACTTTAAGAGATTTAAGAGACACTCAGAAAACCGATATTTGAAACTAACGACTCATTAAAATAATCAAATCATGAGATTTTAAGGGTATAGGGAATGAGAGATCATTTACTCAAACCCTCCTTTCTGAAAGGACCAAGACTCAAGGTTTAAGATCATACCTTAGATGATCACCGGGCTAAGTAGCATGATTCATGTTATTGACCTAAGTATGACGTGTTAGAAGACGTAGGACGATGTAACATCAGATCTATAAAGGATACAATTATTAGCCAGGTTTTCTGAACACGAGGGAGAAATGCAGGAATAACAGGAAAAAACAAAACAATAACAAAAGAACAGGAGAAGCCTTTAGGATTGTAGAAGCAACTCTGGTAAGTTGTCTGATGGCAGAAAAAGTTCTTTCACACAGAAAGAAGAACTAGGTAACAAATGTGTATGGGAAAAAAAAGAAAAAAATCATGAGCCCATGATGAATTTAAGTACAAGAACTTGGGTTTGAAATGCAAACATGGCATTATGAATTGCATTGAATCGATTACACATTGCAAATGAATTGTAAAAGCTTTACTGAGAATTCTCTAGCTCTGTTCCCTGGGTGTTCTTTATACCTTATCATCCAGAGCCACTGTTGCCCACTCAGGAAAAATAACTGTAATATACCTAAACTTTTTAGTCATAGAGAGAGACCTTTCACTTATGGAGGCTGTTGTTCAGAACAGGCAGATGCAAACTGATACCTTTACAAAGTAAGGCAGGGAAAGAAGAAAGTAATTGCTTCAGAGTTTGGGGAGGTGGTTGTGAAACAGTAGGGAAAGAATCAAACTTTCTTCTAAGCAAAGCGTGTATATGTGTTTTGTGTTGTTTTGTAGAAGTTTGCTAATAAAGATATCACCAAAGATTCGAAGCATAATCATCTAGAGGAAATGCTGGTAGTATGGCTGTATGTGTATGTTCAAAACTCTCTACAGCAGACGGTCTTGTTTTAGGGGTAAGTAAGACTTCGCTCTTGATTAAATTCAGGAACATGCACTATTTCAGTTGAGCGAGGATGGTTCTTCCATCTGAAGAGGGGCATATTTGGTTAAGATAAAAAAGTAAAAAATGGGCTTTTAAGATTTTTGGGTTTTTTTTTTTTTTTTAGTTGACACACAATGTTACATCAGTTTCAGGTATAAAACGTAGTGACTCAACATGACTATGTTATGCTATGTTCAACACAAGTATAGCTACCATCTGTCCCCATACAATGCTATTACGATATAGACTATATTCCTTGTGCTGTACCTTTTATTCCTGTGACTTATTCATTCCAAAACTGGAAGCCTGTATCTCCCACTCCCCTTCACCCAAAAAATGTTTTTTAATGCTAATTGCCTTCTACAAAGTTTGACTGATCTTCTGTCTCTTCATAAAGAAATACGTGCTTAGATATAAGCATACTGACTAAACCAATATACACAGGGTAATAAATAAATCCCAAAAGAAATCAAAGACATGGTATTTTTTTTAACTAAGAGAGAGATCCATTGCTGATCTCTTTCAATTACTGTATTGATGTCTATGCACGAGGATGGCTACTAATTCGTCTCTTAAGTTATAAACAGAGAGCTTAGCTGGCTCTTAACAAACACCAAGGAATTAGGAAGATCATGCCCTTTCATATCTGAAGGAGAAAGAACTTCTCCACTGGATGTGAACTTTTCCTTTGAACTTGGCTGCTGTGTAGATCACTTGTCTAAGTCTCCCACCTGACTGTTCAGCAGAGGTTATTAATCTCTTTGTAGTCGCAGACCCCTTTGTACATAGGAAGAAGGTTCTGAATCTTCTCCCCAGATTCATGTGTATATAATAATCTTTGGCCCTCATATTTTTGTGTTGGGGGAAGAGGACTGTGACCTCCTAGAATCCCATCTGTTGACTCTAGGTTAAGAACCACTTTTAAATAAGAAAACCCATCTTGTCCTTCACACACTAGCAACCTTGCTTTCTTGTAGAGTCCTTTTCAAGCTTTGGCTACTTGGATGTTTCATAGTATTATACAGGAAAACTGTCAAGGAGACACTTTTTCAAGCCCACTCACTTAACAGTTGGAAAGCCATGTGGAATTAATGTTCTTCATACTGATGTGCTTCTACAAGAGGTATTCACTGGATGCCTGCTCTATGCCGGGCACCGTATTAGAGGCTGGTGACAACGGGGAGATAACTGAAGTCCGGGCCCTCAAGGATTTTGTGATTTTCTCCCAATCAAATCCAAAGAATCTCTGAAGATAATGCCATTCTTCCAAATTTGATGCAGAGGAAATCCTAAATTCTAAATCTGTAAAAAGTGCATAAGGTTGTTACCCAAAAGTGGTCTTTCTATAAAAGAAAAGTCTCTAAAGTGTATCTCTAATATTAGCCAATTGCATTTATGTGTTTTTAGACTACTTGCTTTACCAAGAGCTGGAACTATTAAAACACTAAGCAGTGTCCTATTACAATTTATGTTAAAGTGAAAATAATGTGCCCTCTGAAATTTTTAAAGAGTAGTTAAAAATGTGATCCAATATATGAAATACCAGTCCACATATAAATTGAGAAATAAATTTACTGGCACCTATTTACTTGGATTATAATTATCTTCTTACAAATTAAAGTTGAGTAATAATTCTCCCCTACACAACCCCTCCCCTATCCAATAGGAAGACCTCGTACAAGCAAGTCTACATTGGAAATTCTTTGTATTTCTTGTTTTCTTTTTCTTTTATCCCTAGTTTTAGAGAGAGGGAGAGAGCATGGGGAGGGGAGAGGGCAGAGGGAGAGAGAGAGAATCTTAAGCAGGCACCACACTTAGCATAGTGCCTGACACAGGGCTCCATCCCACGACCCTGGGATCATGACCTGAGCCGAAATCAAGAGTCGGACACTCAACCGACTGGGCTACCCAGATGCCCCTCTTTGTATTTCTGTGTTGGACCATGCCTCACCCCAGCATGCTTGTGAACAAGATACACAACAAGTATGCATTGAAGGAAAAGATAAATAAAAGATGCAAAAAGTGACTCAACCTTAATAAATTACTAATGTACAAGCAAATATTGGCCACATGGCTTCCTGCATGCAAATCAATTAGAACCACAGTTTTCCTCAAATACCTTCAGTTTTCTCCTCTCCTGCCATTACTTGATAGGTAGGGAAGACAGCCAGTAGTAGAGTCAGACTGTCAACTTTTTTATGAGAGAATTGACCAGAATTATCATTGAACATTCTGCTGCTCCAAGTATGGCTTACTTTATTTGGTAAACCTCAGTACTTTCTAGTTAGGGCTCTCTTTTGAAGCTAACCAATCCAGAAAATACATGGTAAGTGCATTGCTATTTTACTTTTATCTTTCATAAAAACCTTGAACGTGTCTTCTAGTTAACACTTACTGGAATTATGTTGTAAATTGCATGGTCTCAGTACTAATACCATTCTCTTCTCACAGGCTGTCCAGATTATGATTGGCATATTTCATGTTTTCATGTGGTACTTCCTACTGATTTTGTATATGGGACAAATTAGAGGAGTCTTTGGCACATACGAACCTATAACTTACAAAGCAGGATGTCCTTTATGGGGAGTCATCGTGAGTAGAATATATTTATATGATTTCATCATGCTGTAAATACTATTCGTGCCACTAGTGGAAGATAGGGAACAATTTCTAAACAGAGTTTTCAGAATTATGTAAGTAAATCCCATGTTGGTAACTTATTCAAAATCAAATTCCTTTTTTCACCAGATATTTTTTGAGACCCTTTAATTTACCAGTGCTGTTATAAGAGATGTGGATACAGGAGGGAATAGACTGTGACAACCACAGGTTGGATTGTCCTTAGATATGTGGAAGACAAAGAATCTGAATTCTAATTGCCATTAGCCTGGTTAGTTTTCATATTTAGGGTCCTTCTTCACACAGGGAGTCTACACTCACATTTTCTAATGTGTGTACTCTGTGGTTTCTAGACAGCCATAAAGTAATAAAAAATTTGGAGAGTACAGCATCCTCAAAGCCAAGTAAACAATTAAGGAAAGATAAACTATATTGAAATCTGTTATTTTGCCAAATAGGGCTGAGAATTGACCATTGGATTTAGCAATATGGAAGCCAGCAATAAACTTGACATGTAGGTTCAGTTGAATGGTGGGGCAAAAACCTGACTGGAGTTGGTTTAAGAAATAACGGGAGGAGAACTAGAGACAGCAGATACAACTCCTTTAAGGAGTTCGGTGTAATGTAGTATATGTAGAGAAATGAGGTAGTAGCCGGGGAACTTTGGGTCAAGAGAGGGTTTGCTTATTTGCTTCAGTAAGTTGGAAGTATCATGTCTTTTATCGAGGGGACTGAACCATAAGAGAGAAAATGGATATGAAATAAATGGAAGCAGGTTGGGATTATTAGAATCATGTACTGGTGTAGGCAAGAGATGATGAATTTTAATACATAAAATAGCTAGGTCCATGGGCAGTTCATCTCTAGCAGTGGTTCTCAATGAGAGCTGGTTTTGCCCCTCAGAGAATATTTGGTGATGTCTAGAGACATTTTTGGTTTTCACACCTGGGGTGAGCTTCTAGCAGGCAGAAGACAAGGATATGACTAAATACCTCACAAACATATAGGATGGCTCCCACAACAAAGGACTGTCCATCTATAATGTAAACAGAGCCAAGGTGGGTAATGGGATGGAAAGGTAGAGGAACAGAAAGGACAAATTTTGATTTGCAAGTAGATGGGACATTGGGAGCTTATGGAACTTTTCTTCCAATGGCTTCAGATATCTCAGTGAATTAGGAAGTCAGATCATGAGCTGAGAATGAGAATGGGATAATGGACTGGTTGTTTGAAGAAAGGATATGAAATAGTCATCCAGAAAAAGAGAGTGCATGCATTGTGGAAAAGTAGTTTGCCTTTCGCTAAGCATTAAGAGCTCACTTAAGCTTTAGGAACATGATTTGTGTGTCTTAGATCATGTTTGGCCACATGGGTGCAGGCATTCAGTAGGAAGGAAAACTGCATTTAATCATGATTTGGATTTAACCATGATCTGTGATCAAACAAGAACTGTGAAAAGGAGTTGAAGGTGTATGTAAGTGAATGTAGTGTTGACCATGGAGTTTAAACTGGCAAAGGAGAGAATATAACAGAGAGGTGAAGGTCTCGATTATAAATCCAATCCAAAGGACTGTTAGAGTTGTGATACTACAGGCATGAGGTATAGAGATAGAAGCTGGTGGTCCTAGTGGGATACTTTAAATTGAGATTTGAAAGATGTTGCACTTATTGGTAGAAACAAGCACAAGAGAATGAATATGGGAGTGAGTGACTGAGATAGGATGGGGTCGGAGGTCTGGAGAAGAGAAAGTCAAAGAACCACAAACCCAGGGTGTTAGAAGGATAATTACCAAGATGTAAGAGGTGTGAGAGAGTGAGACAAGAATTAAAATCACCAAGAGGAGGGGCGCCTGGGTGGCGCAGTCGGTTAAGCGTCTGACTTCAGCCAGGTCACGATCTCGCGGTCCGTGAGTTCGAGCCCCGCGTCGGGCTCTGGGCTGAAGGCTCAGAGCCTGGAGCCTGTTTCCGATTCTGTGTCTCCCTCTCTCTCTGCCCCTCCCCCGTTCATGCTCTGTCTCTCTCTGTCCCAAAAATAAATAAACGTTGAAAAAAAAAATTAAATCACCAAGAGGAGTGACCAAGTCATCAATAGATGACTTCAACCAGGACAGATAGTGGGTGGTAGAATCTGACAATATTTGACGAGAGAGAGAGTTGAAAGTAATAATGAGAAGCAAGGAGACCACTTATCTTATGCCTAGAACCAATGGTATCAGGGCTGTAAGAGAAAATGACCACCACTTGAGAGGGCTCTAGAGAAAGTTGTGGCCTCTAGGAGATCCCCTGCCTTTATATGTTGGTTCACAAGTGTCAATGCATTGCTTTACAGAACAGAATAGTGAATTTGCAGTCAAAATCCAGATAAATGATTCATGGCCCTCAGCATTTAATCATACATGTTACAAAAATAGCATGTGTAGCTCCTAGAATAAATTATCTAAAACTTCAATCAAATTTAATTAAATGCAAAACTTCTCACAGGTCATAAACTTTGAAAGGTATTTTGTGAAGCACATGGTTTGGTAATTAGCTAGAGAGCACTCTAGTTTAAAATTCACCTTTATATTAGTTCTTCCTTTCACTGTGTACTTCTTAGAAATCTCAGCTTACAGAATATTACATAATGAAGTGCTGAGTGTGCAGATTTAAGTTATCCTTAAAGATAATTAGGAGTTAGTAAGCTTCAAGGTTTGGCCTTCCTGTAAACGGGATAGCATGAATGCTGTGTTTCCACAAATTATTCTTTGACTTAGATCTTTGTGAAAATGCCTAAAACAGATAAGACAAAAGGAATATATCAAGGGAATTGTACAGCTCACCTTCAAACAATGTGGCATAGCTTTGCACTTCTGGGAAATAGACAAAGTAACCTGGTATGAAATAATGGAAACTCTTAAAAAAAAAAAAAGGCAAAAACATGAAATGTAGTTGTTACCTTAATAATGACTACAGTCTCAAGAGGTATGTTTTGTACAAACAATTTGGAATAGACTCATGAACCACTTTTTCCACATCTGGATATATGCACAGTAATTACAATCAGTGGCTTCAATTTATTAGGAAGGATAGCATTTGAAATAATAATCAAGTGAGTTCAGAAAGTCTGTGCAGATATAAGCAAACTTGGTCCCTGACTCGGGACTCTTGAAGTCATCTTTGGCATAACCCACAACCTGAATTCTGCCCACTGTTCCCCATAAGTTTCTGTGGTTAGTGACCCTGCTATAACGTTTCAGTTCATGACTATATGATGGAAACTTGTCCTCATCCCTTCTACTGAAACCTCTTTATATTTTATAATTCTTGGTAGTCTAAAAATCATTGACTTAGAAGAGGAGTTGTTAAAAATATGTTTTAAGTTGATGAACATCATCAATGAGTATTTACAAATATGTTTTTATATCCAGTTTATCATTGCAGGAGTCTCCATAATAAGAGTAGCAAAGCATCCAACTCCAGGCGTGGTAAGTGGAGATGCTTAGGGTATCCTAGAAATCACTTGTCACAAAACTAAAAGGTTTTAGTGAGTATCTAAACAATGAAGGAATCTGCCGTGCTTGTAAAATAAAGAATCAAGTGAAAATCTAGGAACACATAATTTAATGTAGACATTCTATAGTGGTCAGTATCATTATGCAAAGGTTTCTAAATTTAAAGATAGGGCGCTTTTGGTTTAGTATTCTATCTTATTTTAACGTTGTATGAACTTTACTAGTAGAAAAAATTTAATAGGACCTAATAATGCCTTTATGTATAGACATAATACTACTGTAAAACTTTATTTTCCAAACTGTCTATCTAGTTTGGGGATAGTATTGGATCTTGTAATAAGATAAAGGATCTACCCAGAGGATCCATCTATGGTACAGGTAAGATATTGGAAAGAAAAAAATTCTCAGAATCTTAGAGCTCAAAGATACCTTAGAAATCAATGAGTCTGATCTCACAGTTTTACAGATAAAATCTTACATCCAAAGATACTGATGGATCTCCCTAGAGAATGAAAATCCTGGGTTAAAATCATTGACTCTTATTTGACTTATTTCTATAAGCAGTCATTTTCCATCTTTTTTTTTCTTTTCCCTCTTTGCAGTGGAACTCCTTTTGTTCAAACCCTATCTTAATCTTTCTTTCATATGACCCAGAATATTGTAAAATACATTTTTAAGCCCAAATGGAAGACTGATGCTTATTGGTGTGATATTTCACTGTTCCCTCCAGATTAACTGGGTATCATGTAAACCAGAAAAATATTTTACTCTAATGGCAAGCATACTAACACCTCTGAAACTTCAGAAACTAGATCAGCATTTTGACTAGATGATTTTTTTCAGCAGTACAAACAACCAAAGTGTTTATTTTGAATATAACAAACTTTCCATGTATCTTCTTTACAGATTACATTTGCTTTGATCATGAACATCTCATGCATAATTACTTCAGTTATTGCATCAGTTCTAACAATAATTGAGTTGTCTTCTTTTAATTCGGTGTCATACAGGAATTATGGACAAGCGGTAAGTGGCCAATTCCTTAGGAACGTCTTAATTTAAAACAGTTCTCTTCCAAGGTTTTAAAGCCTTTGGAGGTAAAACAAAGCTTTTACTAGTCTTCAGGAAATTCTTTTATTTAAGTAATAAGGTCTCGATTGAAAGTTATTTTGGGTTTTTTTATGTTTATTTACTTTGAGAGAGAGAGAGTACATGTGCACCCGCATGAGCAAGGGAGGGACGGAATGGCAGGGGGGACAATATCAAGCAGGTTCCACACTGTCAGCGCAGAGGCCAACGCAGGGCTCAGTCTCATGAACCATGAGATCATGACCTGAGGCAAAATCAAGAATCGGGTGCTTAACTGACCAAGCCACCGGGCACCCCTTGATTGAAAATTTTAATTCAAAAATAATTCTGACATGATTTTTTGGTAAATATTACCAGAGTGTTTGAATTCCTGACATGCCTAATTAAAACAAATCAAGTAAATAATGTGAAGGCTTCAGTGATAAGTGTATATGCATTAGACGTAGGGTCACTGATGATTCTCTTAATGAAAGAAAAGTATAATCCTAGACCTTAAAACGATTCCCAAAATCAACAAAAGAATTCTGCTTACCAATGCTTATAGTTGGAATTGTTGACACCTAGTAATTTCTGGTTTAACACAGAGCTTTTCATGTGCAGCCTATTTTTGTGTCTCGCATCAATTTGCCTTGTGTCCTCAAATGCTAAATGTACATGAATCTGTCTTGCTTCCATTTAATCGAATAACCAATCGTATACCTTGTACTAGAGAAATAACTGCATTTCTTTGTAAGATAGTAACATCTTCCATTAAATATGAGTATCTTCACTGATATCACAATCTGTTTCAATTGTGTTGGCTTTAAATTCAGAATCCCAGAATATTAGTGCTGCAAAAGACTTCAGCAATACTTATAAATAAAAATCTTCCATTTCAAATGAGAACATACTAGAGTGGGGCTCCTCCTTACTTTCTTTTTCTTCAATTTTGTTTTCAATGTTTGTTTGTTTTTGAAAGAGAGAGACCGAGCACAAGGAGAGGAGGGGCAGAGAGAGAGGGAGACACACAATCTGAAGCAGGCTCCAGGCTCTGAGCTGTCAGCACAGAGCCCAACACAGGGCTCCAACTCAAGGACCGTGAGATCTTAACCTGAGCCAAAGTCAGACGCTTAACTGACTGAGCCACCCAGATGCCCCTCCTCTTTATTTCCAAACAACAGAACAAAAAATAACAATTTGAAAGTTTTAGTCCAAAAATAATTCTAATGAAAAGAGTCATTGTAGATGAGGGATGAACTTCCTACTCCCCCCATCGCGCTCTCTACCTGCACTGTATTATAAAGGGACCATCAGTGCTGACCTGAACTCAGTATTGATCAATTTCAGTCTCCCAAATGCACACGTTTCAGTTTTGTTTGCTGTGATTAATTACATGAAATGAACTTATATATTAGACCCCCAATCTTTTCCTGGAGGCATTATAGAATTCTACTCCTGCATTTACTAAGGCAGCCAACATTTTACAATATTTTCCATATGCCAGCTTTTCTAACATAAGCAAGTTGCTTGGCTAACCCCACAAATTCATCAAGTTACCAGTGTTTCCAGGTAGGTTCAGCTATCCCAAAAAGTGCATGCCCCTGAAACATACTTCTCAGATAGGAAAATGGTTGCTAGTATAAATCCAGAACCAAACTGACTTTATTCAAACACTGTCTTTAATACTCGTTGTATGTGACCCTATGGACAAGTTTCCTAACTTCCCTGTTCCTTAGTTTTTTTGTGTGTCAATGGAGCAAATGATAACATATACCTGTTAGTTAAACTGCTTTGTCTCCCAGACTCCAGGCCTGTAATTCCAAATATGCCTGTATATCTCATATGGATATGCTTCTGGTGTCAAACGGAATTTCAACAGATATAAAATGGAAAATATTTGCCTCCTCAAAAGTACTGCACTGCAAGACTCCCTTATTTCAGCCTCCAGAGCTCAAAACCTTGATGTAATCCTGTACCCTTGTCTCTCCACTGTCTTCCCAATTACCAAGTACTATTTATTATTTACTCTAATTTTTATTAATTAGGGCTCTCTTGGTTGTAAGTGCCAGGAAATACAATGCAAATTGACTTAAGCAAGAAAAGGGCACTCACTGATTTATGTGGGATTCAAAGGCTTAAATCACGTGTCAAAAATTCAGTCACTCTCTGCTGTTTGCCTGTTTGAACTTTTCTGGCAAAAAGCAGGGAGAATTTGTCTGAGAGTAACACTTCACATGTGTAAATTAAGGAGCGTGGACAAAATGACTTTTTACAATCTTGACAGCTAAGAGGTCACCAGAACTTCCCAGCTAAGATGCTACAATTGTGTTTCTGCCAACAAAATTAGATCAGAATTCTGATAAGGTAACTTGCCATTTCAAACCCTCTATAGTCTCTTCTTTATCCTCCTGTTAACATCATGCACTCCCTACACCCGAGTTAAATTCCCTTTATCGTTTTCTTAAAACACAAGTCACTCTTTTTTTTTACTTTTTTTTTTTTTTTTTTACTTTTATTTACTTTTTGAGAGACATACAGAGACAGAGCACAAGTTGGGAGGGGCAGAGAGAGAAGGAGACAGAATCCAAAGCAGGCTCCAGGCTCTGAGCTGTCAGCACATAGCCCGATGCAAGGCTTGAACTCACAAACCGTGAGATCATGACCTGAGCCGAAGTTGGATGCTTAACTGACTGAGCCACCCAGGCGCCCCGAAACACGGTCATTCTTGCATTCAGTTTTTTGTTCACATTATCAAACCATAGGTCGTGTGGTATGTATTTTGGCTTTATTATCGTTACTATTTTATGTCTCCATTTCTTAATTATTTTGTCACACTTGTAATGTGTGCTATTACATTTTTCCAGAACAAGATAGGTTACACTGAAACTAGTAAATGAAAATTTAAAGATGCCTAGAATGTTGCATCCCTCCTTCATTTTTCTCAGTCCTACTCTTATTTCCAATGTCTTACCTCTTTATGAAGCCTTCCTAGGTATGAATGGCTTAGGGTAAACCTCTGGTCCCCTAAAATTACCGAGCAAGTTTTTTATCCCTTTTGATATATTTAACCTTATCATATGTTACCTTATACTATCTGTCTTTTCTACTTGAATATAAACCTTAAGAAAGCTAGAATTTTTGGTCATTTCATTCTTACCGTCTATTCCCTACCACCTAATAGTTTCTTGCATAAAAGATATCAAATAAACTGAATGAAAATGGAGAAGGAGGAAGAGAAAGAACTGAAGGAGAGAAAATTGTAATGTTATTCTTTCCACATCTGCATATCATTCTTGTCTTTCTACAGCCAGCACAAAAACTACATTTATTTTCAGGATTAAGGCCAGTATCATTCATCCTGATATGTAGTTGAAAATATCTTTCTTTACAGAGAGGGAAGGAGGCAAACCATAAGAGACTCTTAAAAACTGAGAATAAACTGACAGTTGATGGGAAGTAGGAGGGAGGGGAGGGTGGGTGATGAGTATTGAGGAGGGCACCTGTTGGGATGAGCACTGGGTGTTGTATGGAAACCAATTTGACAATAAATTTTATATTTTAAAAAAAAGAAAATATCTTTCTGACAACAACAGAAGGGATCTGCTTTATTATCCCAGCAAAATCATAATCACCTTATACTTCCAAGTGAGATGCTGGTGTTTGAGTGTTTACCCATCCTTCCACATCATGTTCCAACAATTTCTATGTGAGATTTTTATCACCACACAGATACATTTAAGTAGGTCTGTAATTAACAATAGTTGTTTTAATACATGAAGATTGCTTGATAAAATCTTTTAGTAGGCATCTTACCATTGGAGACAGAAGAATCAAATCTTATTGACTGAAGTGTTTGGATAGAGCCCCTTGTCATGAAGAGAACAACAAGAATGAAGAGTTCTAAGAAGCAAGACTAGAAGGCTGAGTGATGAAGATCAAAAACGGAAGCTGTAGATGGTGAACTGGGGGAATTAAGGCTAGGAAAAGTGGAGCCAAAGGCAAAGGAGTAGAAAATGACTAGGGAAGTCAGATGGTGAAAGCATCTTACTTATTATTCCCGTTTTCTTTGACTGTCACGGTAGGAGCTCTTTCTGTGAATGTACTTTCATTTACTAAAGATAATAATGCAAGATTTCTCCCTATTTTCTGTTTTCAGAAACTTGGAAGGGAAGTTTCACGTATTTTACTGCTCTCTTACTCCTTTGAGATTTCTGTTGCGTTAACATACACAATCTTTGGCTGTATTGGTTTGGTAAGTGTACGTGTAGTCTCCGGCAAGTCAAGAGATGTTGATTTCTAGCACACATTCTATAAAGAGATGATACGATGTCTTAGAACTCATGAAAATTGAATATGTGACTATTTCCTTTAACGTTTTTCCTTATTGTTTATAAAGTTACCAAAGTAATACCTGAAACTATCAAGTAAAATTAGAGTAAATTGTTGTTGTCCTCATCATACCCACACATCCAAATCCACACAAAAAAGACGCAAACACACACGCAGACCCACACATACGGTTTTCTTTTTTACTGTGTGATCCTATTCATATTGCTTTCTCACATGCATTTTTTTCTCAACTATCATAAACATCTTTCCATGATAAAACAAAACAATGCCTTTTAGTAGCATCATACTTTTCCTTAGTATCTATTTCAACATTTTTTTTGGCTGCATATTTATCTTTTTTCCAGTTTTTTAAAAATTATAAACAATGATCTTTGCATATAAGACTAGTATTTCTGTAGGTAGCTGATTTCTAGAAGTGTAGTGACAAGTTTGATAACATCCCAAAATGCTGTCAGAATCCACAGTACTACAAAAGTTTATGAGAATGACTATTTTGTCACAAGCTTAAAAAAGCTAAGTACCTACATTCATTCATATTTATGGAGGGCTTACTCTTTACTAGGCATTGTAATAGGCACTAAGAATGCAATGATTAAGGGGCACTTGGGTGGCTCAGTCAGTTAAGCTGACGTTGGCTCAAGTGGCTTGTGACTTTGAGCCCCACGTGGGGCTCTATGCTGACAGCTTGAAGCCTGGAGCCTGCTTCGGATTCTGTGTCTCCCTCTTTCTCTCTGCCCCTCCCCCACTCACACTCTGTCTCTCTCTCTCTCAAAAAATAAATAAACATTAAAAAAAAAGAATGCAGTGATTAACAAGACAACATCCCTACCATCAGAAAGCTTTCCATTTCAGTGGAAGAGAAAGACAATTAACAAATAACATACACACACACACATATATACACCCACAAACATATGTACATATATGTATATATATACACACACATACATATCTTTATATACATATTTATATTATATTAATTTATAGTACTATATATGTTAGATTAATACTATACTTTTATATATTACATATTTTATATATAATATATATTATAGTACTATATTTTTGAGTGTTTATATATAATACATATATGTATGTATACATATATATATATATATATATAATTTAAGGAAGTGGAAAACTTATGGAGTAAAAGGAAATGAGTAAAAAGACAAAGCAAAGATTATTTTTACATAGGATAGTAAGAAAAGGCCTCCATGCAGGGACTAACTGAAGTGCAGAAGTAACTGAGACTACATGGAAAAAAGAGTTTTCTGAACATAGGGGATGGGTGGGGCTTCCAGAATGGTTGAGTGAGGATATACTAATGCTCCCTGAAAATAAATGCTAAAACTGGACAAACTGTCAATAAACAATCTTTTAAAGATTCTGGAAATTTGCCAAAGTATACAAAGTATTGAGAAGCATTTACTGAAGAAAATTCACTAAATCTCACTAAGAATAGTTTAAACATTTTAGTTTGGGGCTGCTCCAATTCCTCCCAGCCTCCACTCCCAGGTTCCCTTTTGCAGAAGTTTACATAGGATTGGTTTTTATTTAGTTTTACTCTGTTAGAGTACAGAAAGTTTAATGACCAGGGGTGTTATTAAAACAGTAGTCATCTCAGTGGCCAAAAATGTAGGAAAGCCAATATAACACTCAACCTAACTGAGCTCATGATGTTTGTTCGGGTAGGAATTGACTGGCAACCAGCCAGAAACTTAACGGGGAGATCCTGAGAGCAAGAGAGCCAAAGTGGGCCTTGATAATATCCTACTTATCCTTGTTTCCTGGAACATAATAAATGTGCATGGGCTAGGCTATGCATGCATTAGGACACTGGAGAGGGTCCTAGTAAACTGCTCACCCCTGGCTGAATAAGACACCTTGCAAACACAGATTAAAAGCTGGGGCAGATTTACAAACAGCCTAAACTTTGAATACATCCCCTAAGCTACATTGATTCATTGACAAAGGCTGGAAATGTTACTGGCTCAAAATATGTATTACTTCGCTAGGGCTACCATAACAAACTATTACAGACTAGATGACTAAAACAACTAGAATTTCATTTTTCACATTTCTGGAAGCTGGAATTCCAAAATCGAGGTGTTGGCAGGGTTTTGTTTCTTCAGAGGCCTCTCTCTTTGGCTTTAAATGTCTGTCTTCTCCCTAGGTCTTCACATGGTCTTCCCTCCTCTTATAAGGACATCAGTCATTTGGAGTAAAGCCCACCTTAATGACTTTATTATAACTTTATTACTACTTTAAAGACTCTGTCTTCAAATGAAGTCACATTCTGGGGCACTAGGAGTTAGGACTTTAATATATAAACTTTAGGGAGACACAGTACAGCACATCACAAGGTGTTTAAGCACACCTCTGACCACTGATTGGCTGACCACGTATGCTGACCAAGGAAGAACCCCATTAAACGAGTCTTAAGATTAAAAACATAAATGAAAAAAGTAAGTAGATTGATATATCAGAAGCCATATACTGCAAGGGACACAGACTCCACAAAATTGATACAGGCAGGTCACAAAGGGCAGCAATAACAACCACTCTTGGGGAATCAGAATCCAGAGTAGCTACAATATATTATGTAAAACATTCACTTTTCAACAAAAAGAAAAAAAATATGACATGCAAAAAACAGGAAATACTGACACCCTTAAAAAAAAGCAGTCAATAGTTACAGTCTTAGGGAGGAGGAGAATGACAAATGATGGGCTTCACAAAGAAAGACTTTAAAGAACTAAAGAAAAACAGGTTGACTAATATGTTAATTAACATATTAATATTAAAAATGATGACTCATCAAATAAGAGTCTTAATGTCTATTACCTTGATTGTGGTCATATGGTATCATGGTGTTTGTGTATGTCTAAATTCATCTAATTGCACCTAAATTCATATAATTGCATCAAGTATGTACAGTTCTTTATATAAAGCTATTAATTTTTAATAAACAATGATATAAATGAAAGAGATACTAATTTTTAAAAAGAACCAAATGGAAATTCTGGAGTTTAGAAATACACTGTTACTGAAATGAAAAACTCACTAGAGGGACTGAAGAGCAGATCTCTGACAGAAGACAAAATCAGCAAACATGATAGAACAACATAGATCATCCAATCTGAAGAAAAGGAAATAATAAGAAAATTTAATAGAGCCCCAGAGATCTATGGGACACCATCTAGTACACCAACATATGCATAATGAGAATCCCAGAAAGTGGAGGAACAGGAAAAAATCTTGAAGAAATAATGGCCAAAATTTTCCTAAATTTGATGAAAAGTATTATTCTATATATGTAAGAAGCTTAATAATATCCACTTAGAATAATCACAAAGAGATTCACTGCTAGACACCTGAGAACCAAACTTATTTTAAAAGGAGAGAAAATCTTAAAAGCAGCAAGAGAAAAATTGATTTCATATATAATAGAACCACTATAAGATTAACAGCTGACTTCTCATCAGAAACAATGGAGGCCTGGGGCACTGGGGTGGCTCAGTCGGTTAAGCTTCTGACTTTTCAGCTCAGGTCATGATTTCACAGTTTGTGAGTTCGAGCCCCCCATGGGGCTCTGTGCTGACAGCTCAGAGCCTGAAGCCTGCTTCTGATTCTGTGTCTCCTCTCTCTGCCCCTCCCCCACTCACACTCCATCTCTCTCTCTCTCTCTCTCTCTCTCTCTGTCAAAAATAAACATTAAAAATTAAAAAAAAAAAAAAAGAAACAATGGAGGCCTGAAGGTAGTGAGATGGCATATTAAAGTTTTGGAGGAAAAAACAGTCAAGCATGAACTCTATATCCTTTAACTATCCATTCAGAAATGAAGGTGAAATAAAGACATACACAGATGAACAAAGAGAATGTGTGGCTAGGAGAACTGCCTTAGACACTATAGGAAATTCTTTGGTCTAAAAGAAGGTAATATCAGATGGAACTCAACACCTGAAGAAATAAAGAGCATCAGGTAAAGGTAATTACACAGATGACTATAAAAACAATATATCGGGGCGCCTGGGTGGCGCAGTCGGTTAAGCATCCGACTTCAGCCAGGTCACGATCTCGCGGTCCGGGAGTTCGAGCCCCGCATCAGGCTCTGGGCTGATGACTCAGAGCCTGGAGCCTGTTTCCAATTCTGTGTCTCCCTCTCTCTCTGCCCCTCCCCCATTCATGCTCTGTCTCTCTCTGTCCCAAAAATAAATAAACGTTGAAAAAAAAATTTTTAAAAACAATATAAATATATCTTTTGTGCTTCTCTTAACTGATTTAAAAGACAATTGCGTAAATTGCATTGAACTCACCCAGACAATTGAAAATAATCTTTTTTTCAAGTCATGTGATTATCAACCTTAATTCCATCTGTCACAATGACTCAGCTCTAACTTGTAGCATTAAAGCAGCCATAGGCAATATATGAATGAATGGATATGGCTTTATTCCAGTAAAACTTTCCAAAACAGCCAGTGGGCCAAATTTGGTCCATATGCCATAATTTGCCAGTCCCTGTTCTATAGATACATATTTTCTCCTTTTTTCCTGAAATTTTAAGAAATAAGTTTACAAAATCAATAATTATAACACTGTATTGTTGACTATGACATGTAGGTGTAATATGACAATAATAACACAAAGGAGGTTGGAAGGAATAGAGCTATACGAGAACAAAGTTTCTGTATTTTACTGGAATTAAATTAGCATTCATCTGAAACACTGTGGTAAATTAAGATGCACATTGGAAGTCCTAGACTAATGAGTAAGAACACTGAAAAATTATAAGAAAATAATATCAACAAAAAATGAAGATAATATATAGAAAGTATTAATAGGTAAGGGAGGAACATAAAAGACACAAGACCTGTAGAAAAGAAATAGCAAGGTATTAGACATAAATCCAACCGTTTCAATAATAAAATTAAACTAAAACTGCACTGAGCTATTAATTTCCTAACAGAATGATTACATTTCAAAATACAATTCTAACTAATGATAATGACTATGGGTAAAAGAAATCTTTCACTCCTACTTAGAATATAAAATATTACAACGACTTTGAAAACTTTGGGGGCATTATTATGGAAAGTTAAGGTGTACATACCCTATCAGTAATTTTAGTTCTTAGTATGTACCCAACAGAAATGTGTGTGGCAATGTACTAAGGTATACTCTCAGGGAAATACCAATATTAATTCATAATAGTCCCAACGTGGAAACAGTGCAAATGGGTGAGTGGTGAATAATTTGAGGAATGTTACTCTAACAAAATTCGACATAGTAATTAAAATGAACTGTACCTACCCTTAACAACATGATGACTCTCATTTATACAATGTTAAGTATGGAAAGTCAGACTCAAAGAATGCATGCTTTATGATTCCATTCGTATGATGTTTGAAACCAGGCAAAACTAAACCTGAACTGTAATGTTTATGGAGGGATGCAAGCTAGTAAAACTAGGAAGAAATGATTAATTACCTAAAAGTCAAAATGACAGTGACTTTGGGAAGGAAGGAATGGGTAGAAATTGGGAAATATCATGACAAGGTAACTTGTGGGGTGCTGGCATCTGTTCATGTTCAAGAAGAATATTTTGTTGTTGTTAAAGTCTGGAAGTCTGCCAAATCTACCAGTGTCTAGTAGGAATTAAGAGAGTGGGTTGAAGTAGAGATGGGACAGAAAGAGGACAAATGGAACTTTGACATTTTACTCTATAAACATCAGTACTGCTTATGTTTTTTTTTTAACTTTATTAGATGTATGATATTAGGAAGCATGATATGATTTACATGAGGTTAATTTTTTTTTCAGAGTCGTCATAATGAAGATAGTCTCACAGCTGTCCCAGAGGAATTTGAGAGTACTTTTTAAGAACCTTAAAAATGTGAGATTTTTCCTGGTGCTCATACCTGCTGTGGGCCCTAATGATATCTCTGTATAACAAAGCTGCTACAAAGCCCACAGGTGTTGTGCAAAAGAAAATACAAAACAAGTTGGATTTTTTCTTCTCGGTATTCAAGAAATTTCTCCGCACATATTTTTGTAGGCCCCAAGTAGAAAGCTTTTCCCTATTTAAATACGTTATTATGAGGGAAAAATTATCTTCTAGTACTCTGAACCTGTCACCTCTCCCTAAGAGAGCTTTTGTAAGAGACCATAAAAAAGATCTGTGATTGTCTCTAGAGGGCAGGCTATTAAGACTTGGTGAGTGATACTATGTAATTCTCAGGAAAACTTTAAAATACAAGTAAAGAGTACATTTCAGTATGACTTCTTCTACCAGAACTAGCTTCTACTTGAACAAAGGATGAATCCAAAGTCATCCGACTCATAGTCCCTTCATTGTTCCTCTTTGACTGTTTCTCTCATTAAAGTTCCTTCCTGCCCTGAAAGTCTCGGCTGTCTTTCTTCCCTTTCATTTCCGTTGCTTCTTATTTCTCATCATTGCTTTGATCATCTGTTCAATTGCTTTTCAAAGTGAACAGGCTGCTTTTTCATAATCAGGAGAATCTCCCAAGAATCTGTTCTGAATTCAGATTCCCCCTGTCTTCTAATAGGGAACAGCACTTCAGAAAGCCTTGCTCAGCAGAATCAATCATGCCAGTGAGTTCATGTAGCTGTCTTTTAAATGTGCTGCCGTTTTTTGTTGGTTTTCAGCCTTGTCTCTCAAAAGGTTTCATCAGTTGCTATAAAAAGATTTCATGGGTCTAAGAATTTCAGTTCAACACACATTGAGTGTCTTCCGTGTGCTAATGATTATATTAAACTCAGGAGTATCAAAGACGAATAAGGGACCTCACCACGAAGAGTTTTTTGTTTTTTTGTTTTAGGGGAAGAAACAAACCGGTAACAAATCAAGACTATGCAGTGTGATATATGTATATAAACAGAAGTATGAAACAAATGAAGTGGCACAGAAGAGACAATGATCCTTCTGTTGGGATATAAGAGGAAATAAAGCTTTATGAAGGATATGGCCTCTGAGCAGGGGGGTTAATTGTAGTTGATGAAGCAGATTGGAAGGTGGGGAGACATTTCAAATGAGAGTAGCTAGTGCAAAAACCAAAATGTGAAAACGATCATAGTATATTCTAATAACTAAAATATAATTAAAACACAATGACAAGAAGGAGCAGTTCGAGTGAAAGTTGGAGAGGGAAGAAAAGGCCAGATACTAAGTCAAATCATCAAAGATTGATGGCTGTATTGTATTGAAGTGTATCTTGAAGATAGTGGGAAGCCATTGAAGAGTTTTTAAGTAGGGAATGACAGGCTTGGATTTATTTTTGAGGAAAAAGTATTGAATAGGGAGAAATGCATTAGAAAGATTAAATTTGATAAGAACGGCTAGAGTGTGGGAGGGAGTAATGGATAACTATTGCAATGATTCAGAAAACTAATGAAAAAGAGGGTAAGTCTTAGCTATAATGACTGATTAAACATAGGTGATGAAGGAAAAAAAGAATCTAAAACAACCCCCCCCCCCCCCGCCAGTTTCTGGATTGAGTGATACAAAATGTAAAAGACACAGTAGGCTTCAATAATATGATAAATTCTATTTTTGGATAAATTGAATTTAAGATAACTATGAGACATTAAAGTAGAGAGATCTATTAGGCAGTTGAAAATACATACCTAGGAGCTGAATGAAAGCTCACTATAGAGATTGATTTTGGTAGTAGCTAAAAATATGAAAATGAGAGTTTCCATTTTCAGCAATCAAGGACTAGGTTCTTGCAGCCCAAACTTCCTACAAAGAACGCAACAAAGGCAAGCCACAATTTTTACACACCATCTGTTCGAAGATAACCTGAGATCTAGGATTTAGGGAGATTGGATTTAAGGAGCTAAGATTCCAGAGTTGAAAACAAGGCACAATATAAGCTTTTGGCATAGCTTTTCTGCCAGATGCATTTTCTGAATCACAAACAGCAGATGAGAGGTTAAGAAGCTGAGAGGAGTTCCCAGTGTTCTTTTGGGTTGTGGAGACAAGTACTTGGAGCTCAGGCTCACTGAAAAGTGAGAAACTCATAAACATCCAGAATTCTCTGTCGTGTTCCCTACAAGGGTTATATCCTAACAGTGAAAGTGAGCAAAGGCGGGCCATCCCTCTCACAGACCGATGCTGAGACCCAACCAGCTCAGTTACAGATTGTACTAAAGCGAGCTTCTCTAAATCTAACACTCTACCAAAGCAAAAATTTCAAGAGGAAAATAGCATTATCCTGAGCATCAAGTTATCACTAAGGTTTTGCATACACAATGGGGGTTCAATCAAAGCCAGAATTTAAAGGGGCATCTGGGTGGCTCAGTTGGTTCAGCGTCCGACTTCAGCTCAGGTCATGATCTCACAGTCCGTGAGTTCAAGCCCCATGTTGGGCTCTGTGCTGACAGCTCACAGCCTGGAGTCTGCTTCAGATTCTGTGTCTCCCTCACTCTCTGCCCCTCCCCTGCTCATGCTCTATCTCTCTCTCTCTCTCTTTCTCAAAAATAAACATTAAAAAAAATTTTTTTTAAACAATTTAAAAAATTAACTGAAATCCAAGAGAAACCACAGGCCCACAATAGATCCAAATAACAGAATTATAAAATCTTAAGTAAGATTTCAGCAGAAATTAAAATTATAAAAATGAAATAGAAATGAGAAATGACATAACAAATTAAGATCTAAATATATGAACGTAACAGCTATTAAACATAACTGATAAGGAGGGGCACCTGGAAGTCGGTTAAGCGTCTGACTTCAGCTCAGGTCATGATCTTGCAGTTCGTGAGTCCAAGCCCCACGTCGGGCTCTGTGCTGATAGAGCCTGGAGGCTGCTTTGGATTCTGTGTCTCCCTCTCTGTCTCCCCCACTACCCCCCCCCCCCACCCAGCTAGCAATCTCTCAAAAATAAATAAACATTAAAAAAAATTTTTTTTAAACATAGCTGATAAGGAAATCAGTGAGATAAAAGAAAAAGTAGAAGGAAAAATCAGACTAAAGCATTGATAAAATGATCGAAAATGCAATGTGGGGAGTGGGAAGAGTAAGAGACCTATGACACTGATGAAAAATTCTAATACCATGTATTTAGAATTTCAGGAGAATAGAGATAAAAGCAAATAAGTCATGGTCCATGGGTTCAAGCCTCACATCGGGCTCTGTGCTGATAGCTCAGAGCCTGGAGCCTGCTTCAGATTCTGTGTCTCCCTCCCTCTTTGCCAGTCCCCCACTCATGCTCTGTCTCTCTCTCTCTCTCTCTCTGAAAAATAAACATTAAAAAATTAATAATGTAAAAAATATCAAATCATAGGTTCAAGAAGGGTTATAATCCTAAACTTAGTAAATACAAAGAAACGTACATCTAAGAACACATCATAGTAAAACTGCATAAAAACAGCCACAGAGAGAACAGTCTTTTTTTTAAACATAATTTATTGTCAAACTGGTTTCCATACAACACCCAGTGCTCCTCACAAGTGCCCTCCTCCATGCCTATCACCCACCTTCCCCCCTCCCCCATACCGCATCAATGCTTAGTTTGTTCTCAGTCCTTAAGATAAGGTCTCTTATGGTTTGCATCCCCCCCTCTCTGTAACTATTTTTTCCCCTTCCCCTCCTTCATGGTCTTGTGTTAAGTTTCTCAAGATCCACATATGAGTGAAAACATATGGTATCTGTCTTTCTCTGCCTGACTTATTTCACTTAGCATAACACTCTCCAGTTCCATCCACGTTGCAGCAAATGGCCATACTTCATTCTTTCTCATTGCCAAGTAGTATTCCATTGTATATATAAACCACATCTTCTTTATCCATTCATCAGTTGATGGACATTTAGGCTCTTTCCATAATTTGGCTATTGTTGAGAGCGCTGTTAAACATTGGGGTATATGTGCCCTTATGCATCAGCACTCCTGTATCCCGTGGGTAGATTCCTAGCAATGCTATTGCTGGGTCATAGGGTGGATCTATTTTTAATTTTTTTGAGGAACCTCCCCACTGTTTTCCAGAGCAGCTGCACCAGTTTGCATTCCCACCAACAGTGCAAGAGGGTTCCCGTTTCTCCACATCCTCACCAGCATCTATAGTCTCCTGATTTGTTCATTTTAGCCACTCTGACAGGCGGGTATCTTAGTGTGGTTTTGATCTGTATTTCCCTGATGCTGAGTGATGTTGAGCTTCTTTCCATGTGTCTGTTGGCCATCTGGATGTCTTCTTTGGAAAAGTATCTATTCATGTCTTCTGCCCATTTCTTCACTGGATTATTTGTTTTTTTTGGGTGTGGAGTTTGGTGAGTTCTTTATAGATTTTAGATACGAGCCCTATATCCGATATGATATTTGCAAATATCTTTTCCCGTTCCACTCTTACACCAAACTCAAAATGGATGAAGGACCTGAAATAGGTGAGACAGGAAACCATCAAAACCCTAGAGGAGAAAGCAGGAAAAAACCTCTTTGACCTCAGCCACAGCAATTTCTTACTCGACACATCTCCAAAGGCAACGCAATATAAAGCAAAAATGAACTATTGGGACCTCATCAAGACAAAAAGCTTCTGTACTGCACAGAGAGAGCAGTCTTAAACAAGGCTAAAAGACATTTTACCTTTAAAGAACAGCAACAAAAGAGAATAGTAACCGATTTGTTAACAAATGCCAAAAGTCATCAGCATTGATTTGGAAATTCAGTAAGTGTTCTTAAGACAAAAGGGAAAGGCTCCCACATGGAAACTTAAAGAAGTAGGAAGGGAAAAAGTAAATATGAAATAGCATAAATATCTGAGTAAAGATTAATGAACGTGACCATATAAATAATTTCTAGGCATACTAAAATATATTTAAAAGAGAACGTAAATAGCACAATACAGGTGATGAATGAGTTAATATGTTCTAGGGTC